GTCGCTCCGGCCCGGACAGGGCCGCTCCGGCCGGGGCAGGGTCGCTCCGGCCGGGACAGGGTCGCCCCTGCCGGGATAGTGTCTGCCCCGCGCCTCCCCTCAGGGAGCCGAGGGGGAAAGCTGCTTCTACTCTCCATCCTGGAGAAGGCTCCGGGGAGACCTTGTAGCGCCTACTGGTGTCTAGAACCTAGAAGAACATTTTATAGCACAGGAAAAAAAATCAAACCAACCCCCAAGAAATGTGAGATACGATTTCCAGAGAAATTTCACAATTTCAGGTCTGGTGAAGTGGGCAAGCGCGCAGGTGGAAGTGGAGCAGGCCACACACTGAGCTCATGGAATCATGGAATGGAGTGGTTTGGAAGGAACCTGAAATTCCATCCCTTTCCACCCCCCACCATAGGCAGGGATACCTCCTATGAGAGCAGGTTGCTCAGAGCCCCATCCGACCTGGTTTTGAACACTTCCAGGTATGGGACAGCCACAGCTTCTCTGGGCAACCTCTGCCAGTGCCTCACCACCCTCAGGGTGAAAAGTTTTTTCCTATTATCGAATTTAAACCTACCCTCTTTCAGTTTAAATCCATTCACTTTTGTCCTATCACTATATGCCCTTGTAAAAGTCCCTCTCCAGCTCTCCTGTAGCCCCCTTCAGGTACTGGAAGGTGCTCTAAGGTCTCTATGGAGCCTTCTCTGGGTTGAATAATCCCAGCCCTCTCAGCCTGCCTTTGTAGGAGGTGCTCCTGTCCTTTAAGCATCTTCATGGTCTCCTCTGGACTCACTCCAACAGCTCCACGTCTTTCTTGTTCTGGGGGCCCCGGACTCCACACTCTGAGTGGGGTCTCAAGAGGGCAGAGTAGAGGGGGAGAATCACCTTCATTGCCCTGCTGGCCAAACCTCTTTTGACAGGTAGCTCTGAAATAAATTAATAAATTAATGGTAGTAATATGAATGTTTCATAGCCCCTTGTCTCCACATGCTCCACACACTCATATGTTGTGAATTGGAAAAAACCCAACCCCAAGACCTAGGAAGTTTAAGTTAATGAGTCTATGACAGAGCTGGGATGAGACCAATTCCCAGATACCCATAAAGACATCCTATCTTTTAAGGGGTTCATTGCTTCTAGACTACAGGCCAGGAGCACTGTACACAGGTCCCTGCTCTCCACCTCTTCTCTACCCTTTATGTTAGTGTTCCCTCCACAGCCATTTGATACCCAGAATTGCCAACCATCCTCATCCTTCTGTGCCTTCATCCTTTGCCCCTGACTGGCAGGACAGACCTCAATGAGCAGCAGGCATATGAGGAAGTAGATGATTATGGTAATGATGAAAACTTAACTGTTCAAAGGGAGTCAGGGACCACTTGCCTTCAATGGTTTGCACCCCTACCAGCAATCTCATGGATGAAGCAGCAGTGATGTCTTAGAACAGCAACCCACTGTAAAACCAACTAAAAATAATTAGGACATTGCAAGGTTCACTCTGGTGTTACATTGATCAAAACCTTGGTTATCTGGTGACTTTTATGTTTAAAAGGAATTAATGTCCCAGCTGCCAAGAAGCCACTATCTGCTCCATTTGCCAGTCCTGATCCTGCCTCTCCACCTTTAACTCCTTGTATTCCTGGGTATTCAGACTCTGTGGATTACTTATGGCCCTGCATGCATAGCTGCTGTCCTGCTCCCTGCCATTTTATTCACCCACAATTGTTTTGCTCTGCCAAATCCTTGATTCACTTTTCAGAAGTGCCTGTTCAGCAGAGAGCAGCATCTGGTTGTACATGTGCTATCTGCCTTCTCCCAGCTCATCCCACAAAAAGAGAAAAGTCCTGGTCATCTGCAGTCACTGAGACATTTCAAGACAGAATGTCATCATTTACCTAGAAGATGCATTGTAGATAATCTGTGATTTTAAATTTGCTGTAACAATTATGCTAGTTAGAAAATGACATAAAAATTCTCAGTTCAGAGCGGTTCAGATTCACTGCTGGAATAAAGAAATCCTACTGTTGTTGAAGGAAGTTACTTGTTTTACCTTTAAACACACTCTCCTCTCTAGGGCTGTGTTGGTGGGAAAGTTGTTTGGCATGAGTGTCTCAGAGTTTTTGTTCCATCCTGCCTTTTCTGGAACAACTCTCCCTGTGGACAACTTACTTCAGAACAGGATTTCACAGTGGAATAATTATAATCACTTTCTTTTAAATTAAGTTTTACTGATGTAGGTGCAGCAGAGTAGATCTACCATGTAGGTGAAGCCTCAGTGTATGCTTGCAGCTCTTGCACTTCTAGGATAAAAATTTGTTTGGTTGGTTTTCTCACTGATTTCCTAAGATGTTTGTACTCTTGATTCTTGCCAGGTTTTTCAAAATTAAGACGGCCTTGCTCTGGTTTGATTATCTTATTCTGTAGTGTAAAATAGGTAATATTTAGTGATCTCAGCATTGTAGTCTTGACATTCTTCAGTGTGATGACTTTTGCCTAGCTACAAAATAATTTTCCCTCTCTCGCAAGAATAACATCGAGCTTTTGTCATTTGTTTTTGTTCTTCCTCTGTCTAGACAGGCTCTTTAGCTAAGTGGTGTGATTTTGTTTATCTCTAATTTCAACATCAGAGTCACATTTCCCTCCTCCCTACTTCTTGTAAATAGGGTTTTGTTTACCACTGTCTGTTCTTTTGGTGACAAAAGCCACATACTGTCATTAGTTCACAAACGTTTAATTATGTTGCTAGAGCAGATGGGAAACCACCCTCAGGACCTAGGGAGCAGGTCAATAGACTCTGAAATCCTTCCGTCTTTCTTTCATTTTGCTTTCTCCATATCTACTTCAACAGCTCTTTAGCACCAGGTTGAACAAGTGTGCAAGGTATTTACACTTCCACGTGTGACTCTTCCCTTACTTTATTAAATGATTATTCTTAAGCCATTATTATGGCTGAAGAACTCCCTAGTCACTTTAGTTTGATTTATCACAGCAGGACATCCCTTGATGGGTGAACTCCCAACAGGACTTCAATAGTCTCTGGAGGTGAGTAGCAGGTGGCCTGAGCTTTGCCATGCGTGGCAACTCCCGCCGTGGTTTCTTCTCTCTGAAGAAACTCATCAGCCCAGCTTGCTGTTCCTTACTTATCTGCCTATTCAAATACACCTTAATGGATTTAATTCAGGCTTCCAGCCTGGCAGCCCTTTGCTATCTTTTAATCTTCACCTTCATTTGGCAATCTGTTTACGAGCCTCAATACTCCACAGGACGCAGTGTGGGCATTATGGGATTTTCCTTTGTAAGGTCTGAGCATTAAAATGTTTATAATAAAAACAAACAGAAAAATCTAGACAGATACACAGATTTAAATATCATAGTACAAATCAGCAAGCAGCAAGCCTTGATTTAAATTCACAATTTATCCTTCTTTTCTCTCTATTCTTTTAATTGTTTTTGTCATGCTGCTTCTCATTCATAGGTAATATGTTGACTTTCAAGGTAGAAATATCCTTGCATTAAAGTTGGAATGTATTTTCATTAATCAATACAGCAGATTATTATACAATGTATTTAACCAAATACATCTAATGGTATTTGATAGAAATTTTCTTTTCTTTTCCTTTCCTTTTTATGTCAGATAGGAAATGGTGAATGTAGCATTGGTATTGATGCTTGAGCATGATTCATTTTTCTTGTCATCTTCATCAAGTTATACTTGGATGAAAACTGGATTTTATTAAAACACACAGGAAACTGCAGTCTAAAATAGCAATGCTGAAAAGTATGGGAGGAAAAAGTAGGCTTATTGCAACATACTTTGCATAACTTGATTTATGAAGTGGTGAACCCATGAGCTTCCTCATCACTCGCCTCTGGGCAAGGTGAGGTTTTAAACCTTGGGTTTTTTTGGAGTAGTCGCAGGTGTGGAGAATCCCTTGCTGATGTATAGGATTGTTAGGTTATTGTTAGCTTGTCGCAATGCAACCGCTGTTAGTGTGACACAGTTTGCTACAAAAGCAGGGCAAGGTGGCCTGCAACATGAGTGACTTCATTGTTACCTGAATGTACACATTATCTTAATGCTTATCCGTGCATTAACCCCCTGTGTATAGAAGCTGAAGGGACTTAATGCATAGGTGGCACAGCACTAACCATAATTAAGTCAGCTTGCTGAGAGAAAGAGGGAGATGGAGAAACCATCTGGCACAATCTGGTTTGTCCCACTGAAGAGGAGGGCACCTGGCCACATGAGCTATTGGATTTATCAGGCACCAGGTGTGCTTGTTACCAGTATGAAATATCAAACCATTCAGAGCTTGTAAAGTTTTCCCATTTCCAGGTACAACACACATTGGTTTTACTGAACAACTCCAGTGTCCTCGAGAGCCTCTCTGCTCCACAGGTGTCCTCATTGTACACAGTGACTCCTTTTGCAACAGTACTAAGGTGAGCCCTGGACAAAATTTAGTATCCTTGCCTCAGGTTCTGCTTTCCCTGGAACACAAAGGTGAGTAGTTGTTTGTGCAGGAGCCACAAAATGCTCCAGGAGATCTTGCAGTCTAAACCATTGGTGGGTCAATTAACTGGGTTTGCTGCAGCCTTTGATTGAGACTAAATATTTGTGAAGCAAGATCTGAAATCCTGGTTTTAATCCAAATGGGTCAGAAGAAGAACACTAGTTTTTCCCTTTTTTATTTTTGTGTTCCAAACACCACTCAGTTTGACAGCTTTGAAGAAACTACTCATGGTTGATCTGCTGTGTCCACACTCTTTGCAAAGAGTCCAGGGAGATTCCCAGCTTTTAGACATAAAAACCCTGTTCCAAGGCCTTGGTGACAACACTTCCTGGTTTACTGGCTTGATTTCCCTTAAAATGTCAGCATCAAACACACTGCTTGATAATTTATAAATTTATAGATTAAATAGTTTTTTCAAGGACTTTCATAATGAACAGTCATTTTTTTTCTTCTGTTGGGCAGGAATTCCCCCTTTCCACTTCTGGATTTACAGATGAAAAGAATTCAGTGTTCAAACTGTGGGGTTTTCAAAGAGCTGACAAGGTCTGAGTTACAATTCCCACAGCAGCAGTGACTTGACTCCTTTGCAGACAGAGCAGGAGAGCACGGGGGGCCACTAATGACAGCAGGATGATCCTGGTGAGCCCAAGCAGGGGGTCAGGTGCCAGGGATGCAGGGCAAGTGGCTGGGGTGACTTGGTGTCAGGATGCAAAGTGACTTACACAGGAAGATGTGAAGAGCTGTGGCCATAGCAAACAGCCACGACCAAGGGCAGTGAGGCCTTTTCCAGCAAGGAAGCTCCTGAACCTGATGGAGCATGACTTTAGTAAAACACAACTGGAAATTGTGGGGACCAGCAGCATCCAACCAGTTCCAAGTGCATGACTGCTGCTTGAGGCACACCACAGACATGTGGATCCTTGCTTTCTGGCACCTCCACTTTGGGGAAGCAGAGTTGCTTCTGTTCATTCCTTAGTGTGTGATTACCCATTGGACATATTATCACCATACATTCTGATATTCCCATTCCTGTCCCTCCCTGTCCACTCTTTCCTCCCTCTATCTGTAGTATTTTATTTCCTCCCCCCATTCATCCTTTTGCATACTTCCTTTCCTGTGGTTTTGTTTTTTTTTTTTTTACTCTCTCTAAATCACTTTTGTTTCTGTTTCATCTTTCTCCTTTCAAAGGTATGCAAAGGATATAAAGGTATTTCCTCACATCTCTTCTAGTTGGACTTGGCATGTTTGACATGGCCTGATGACTGTGGCCTAATCTGTGTAAAAAGGGAAAGTAATGTAGTCACTGCAAACTGAGCGGCTTAGACACAGGTGATCTATGGATCAATGGAGAACTTTCTTCCTTGTAACAGATGGCAAGAGGGACATGCCTTGTTTTACTAAGATACTTTAAGTACAGTAATCATTAGAGTTAGTAGAGGTGATTAGAGTTTTGTTGATAGAAGCTGTGCTTGGCTGGTGCCTTTGAAAATCAGCTTATTTATTTTCATGTCTAAATACAGACTTGAAAATTTTGGCCAAGGCAGTTTGCTCAAGGTCATAGTCCTGACTCAGGGACAGAACTGGGAAGAGAGCCCAGATGTTTTCAGCTCTCCTTTCCTACTGATATTATGTACAGTTTCAGTAAAGCAGATGTTTATATTTAGATTCACTGAATTAGTTGTTTATATATTCAGTTATATATTAGATAGTGATAGAGTGAGTGGTCAGAATTAATCAGGGAGAAGAGCAGGTCCTGTAAAGTGGTATGGTTTTTGGAATGAGATAAAGTCAAGGACAGAAGAAAGGATCAGTGTTACATGGGAGCACCTAGGCAAACTTTTCCTGCCTTCACAACATGGTGCACCTTTTCTTTTACACCCTGTCTGGGTCAGCTCCTGGGGCTGTACAGGCACAGCTAAGAGAGTAGATGCTGTATGCAGAGCCCTGGTGTGAGCAGAACTGAGGTTTAAGGCCCCAAATTGCCAACTGGTCAGGGCGACAGTGAGCCAGGGTTATTGTAAATTCTTTGCACCATAGTTCCTGCGAAGATTACAAGAGTTTCATACATCAGTGTAAGAACTTGAACTTATTATTCAAATTATCATAGTGAGAATATTTCTCAATGGACATGGAATTGTGTTAAGGAACCACTTCCACTTAGGAAACAAGACCACTGTGTTCTGTCATTGCTGTGGTTTCTAGCTCAGTTTCAAGGCAACCCAAGCAACAGTATATTTTCATGTTCTGTTATGAATCACAGGATTTTCTCATTCACAGCAAATGTTCAACAGTTTACCAGCCTGGAAACACGGTGAAGACCAGAGTTAAGCTTTCCTACCATAAGGAACTGAAAACAAATCAAACAGTGAAGCCTCCAAAGAGTTTTACGAGACAGTTTTCCAAAACTGCTTCATGTAATGATTTTCAGATTCCTCCCATTGGATTTGCAGAAACTGAACTTCCTTGAAAACATTGTTTTCCTGTACTCTGCTTCCTAGGTTTTCCAATAGAGCTGGTCAAAATGATCAAGCACTTCAAATTTATTCTCAGCTTATCTATGCCTCTGCTCAAATTGTAGTAATTATTTCTAGCTTTGCTGTTACAAGTCAAAATATTCCTTGCTCTATTTTAAAATCAGAGCACCCAAGTTTTGCTCAGTGAGAAATGGACTCTAAATTCCTTCTCATACCTTTGAAAAATCTTCTCCATGTGTATGATTTTTTCAAAAGACCCTGGATTCTGCACTGGCAACTGCTGAAGCTAAGAGCCATGCTGCATAGATAAAATAAATTTTAGTACACATGTCTTTAGTTATTCAGCCTGGAAAGCTGACAGATGCCAGCTTCAAATTCATGGCATTTCCTGCAGAATCACATGTCAAAGCCAAAATCAAGGTTCAGAAATGCGTTTGGTTGCTATGTGGAAATGTTTGCCATTCCTGGATTAATGGTTTTGAATAAGCAAATGGTAAGGTAAGAAAAAGAAAAAAAAACCACCAAACAACTGAAGTTTGTGTTTCACGCTTCAAGTGACCTGACCAAGTGTGGCTAAATTCCCTTTTAAAATCAAATGACCATGATGCATCTCCCATGGTGCTGCAGTATGAATGCTAAAAGGATTAAAACTGGTCAGATCACAGAGCTTTATGTTTTGCTCTTTTAAGGGCCGTGTTATATCCGAGACCTTATATTCCTTTTTTTACATAGATATGAGTGCATGGCAGGAAATTACATAATTTCCTGTGCCATGAAGTAAAATATCCTTTTATGTTTTGTTTTGGAGTCAACTACACAAAAAAAAAGGTGTTTTTATCAGTCCTTTTCTTCTGAATTCTTTTTAATTAAATAGCAATAACATTCAAAAATGTTAAAAATCAATACCATGGTAATATAAATAAGTGAAAACAGCTTCGTAGTAACTGCTTGAGTAGGAGCAGTCTATCCACACATCCTTCTTTCTGAACGTTGCAGCATTATTTGAAAACAAAAGTAAATTAGGCTGCTATTTTGATATTTGTTGTTGTGCAATTCTCAAAGCTATGACAAACTACCCAATCTAGACAGAAGGGGAATGGAATGAAGAGGATAAATAATAAATCACCAGTAATAGTAACCAGCTCACTATATTTTAAAAATGAGTTAATGATTTGAAATTTTATTAACACATCTAAAATCTTTTACAATGCATTTCAAATAATCTACAGGCCTTTAAGACCATCCTCAGAAGAGACATCAGCATTCTGAAGACAAAGAAAATCTTCCTGCAAAAGTTCAGTGAAATGCTTATAGCCTCTTTCTGTTTAAAACTAATGAGCATCAAACACCAGGATGAGGGAGTTTAGTCTGATCCAGATCATGATTTCCAAGATGGTTTTGTAACTCTTGAAACTCCCAGCTTCCTGGAAGCCTCTCAGACATGTTCTCCCTGTATGAGCCCAGCTTGCCCAGAGCTCAGACAGCCAGGCCTGGTGTTGTTGCTGGACCCATTCCGAGCTCTACCTCACCATTCTTTTGATCACAGCACTAATGTGCTGTTAACATCAAGGACAAATGCCATGTACAAATAATTATTTTTGAAACTGAATACATCTAAGTTCCATGGTGTAAAGCCCACAGACATGCAATACACCCAGAGTCACTTCAACAGCAGAGTTGACAGATGGAAAACAACCACGTGAGTAGTTTAGCTCATTTTTCTATTGTTGCAGGTACCTTTTTGCCAATCAGTAGATTTGCTAAGGCACTGCCCAAGCTAATTTTGAATATCTCAGTGAGGACTAGCAGAAGCCTTTGGGCAGCTGCTCTTCGCTCTGTGGTGTACCAGAAGTCTAAACTATCAGTTCTGTCTTGTCATCTGTGTGTTGTCACTTAATTTTGCCTTCTACAATCTTGCATTAGATTTTGTGATTTTCTGTACAAGTAGCAGCCCTTTTTAGAGTTTTTTTACACTCCACTAACAAATTACTGTTTTGCACAGCAACTCATCATTTTTATCAGAAGAGGTTGCTTTTTAGCTCTCACTCATCTTGGCCTTTTATCTTTATTTTTGGCCTGTAGAAAAAAAATCTTCCAGCAAAGTTAGTAATGCAAATTATTCAAATTACATTAACATGTATTTCATAATCTTTCTGCCTTTACAGCTTCTCCTGGTAATAGAAATAAACTACAGCTGCTAGAGTATAGTGTTATTCTTTCTCTATCTAAGTTGGGGAAAAGTGATTCATTTTCTCTCTTTCTTAGCAAAAGAGGACACTGTTCAGTGAAGCGAAAGTTATTAGAGCTAAAATTAACTGGAGGAAATACAATCCATAATAAAGCCAGATTACTCAGTGCCACAGATGCAGTAGGAATAGTATTCCAACTGTATTAGCATGAGAGGAAAATGGGGACATCACTTGGTTTTTGGAATGTCAAATGACACACAAACTTGGCACAGAATCAGTAAGGGTTATGGGACATTGATTCTGCACATTAAGGCAGAAAAAACATACTTTAAAAAAAAGCTGATAAATTTCTACACTATATATACAGTTGCAAGGGAAAAGCAGCATTTTAACTAGCTGATAAATGGGGTCTGATTAGAAATTAAGTGATGCTCCTACAGAATTCAGTATTTCTCAGTAATTAGAATATTCCTTAATGTAGTGGACTGTGATGTAAAGCAAGCAGTTCAGGGCTGTATGCTTATTTATCTGATTCAACTACATTAGCTAAATGTCAGTGTTTTTGCCAGCAGCCTATGCTGCAGCCATCAGAGGGGTGATGAGTCCTGCTTCCTCAGCTACAAACAAGGAGCAGACTGGGGCGGTGGGGAGGAGACTGCCGAAGGCATAGAAAATTCTGTATTTAAACAGTTGTGTTTGCTTTTCTGTTAAAAAAAAAAAAAAATCTTGAAGATCTCCTTTCTGCCAGAACACTGGCACTTTGCAAACACTGCCAACACAAACCCCTTTGGGCGAGCCAGCTGACATCAGCTGACCAAGGACATGGGAGAACTTTGGACATTTTATCCATTGCTCCTCAGACAGACAGCCTATTGTCCTGGCCATCTGACCAAAACAAGCTCATGAGTAAAAGCAGAAGCTGCCTATGGAAGATGTGCTTATGTCAGTGCAATCTGAGAAACACAGCACCAGAAGAGAATAACCCAATAGGATGTGATCTTTTAGATATTTCCATTGGAAATGGTCAGCTCAGTCTGGTGATGAGGTGATGAGGAAAAACAGTCTCATGTCCTTGCCTAGATTAAATGAGCTGGACAACTTCTGTATAGCTGAAGCAGGTGTTTGTTTGGACCACAAAAGTTGCTACAGAAACTGGCTCCTCAGCAGGAGAGTAAACACTAGGGACTGAGGCTGAGGTTACAGCATCTTTAGAACGAGATCTGTGCACTCAGATTCATCTCAGACATGGGACAGGAAGTTCTGTTTCCCAGAGTCAAGTTAGCCAGAGCTCACAACACAAATCTAATGTCCCTTTTATGACTTTATACCAAATGGAAGGGAAAAGGGAATACATGGGGGGCAGGTAAGTCAGGTGATAGCTGACTGAGCACAAAGCCTTTTGGTACAAAAATTAACAAGGCCAAATTTTTACAACAAATCATGATCAGCAGAAAGATCAATACAACTGCATTGAGCAGCTCTGCTGTTTTCAGTCTAGCCCTGGGAGACATCCAGATGTCTTGTGTTATCAGGCCTTACCTTCTGGAAACTTTTCCATGTCAGATACTTGCAAAACAAGCTGAGGTCACAGGGAGCAAACTCCAGTGAGCTGTACTGGCTTACAGAAGTCCTGGGTGCTTCTATTCTGTCTTTGTATACTGAGCAAGCTATTCATGCTCTCCTATGAAGGCTGAGAGAGATAGGGCTGTTCAGCCTAGAGAAGGGAAAGGCTCTGCAAACACCTTAGAGCACCTTCCAGTACCTAAAGGGGGCTTACAAGGGAGCTGGAGAGGGCATGCAGTGACAGGACAAGGGGGAATAGCTTCAAAGTGACAGAAGAGAGGCTTAGCTTAGATGCTAAGAGGAAATCCTTTACTGTGAGGATGGTGAGGCACTGAAACAGGTTGCCCAGAGAAGCTCTGGCTGCCCCATCCCCAGAAGTGTTCAAGACCAGGTTGAGCAGGGCTTTGAGCAGGTTTGGTGAGCTCCACACTCTCTTTCTAGACCTGTTTGGTTCAGGGCCAGTCCCTGCAGAGGAATAGAGGCCCCACCACCAGCACAGGCCATGACAACCGGGAAAGAAGCTAAAGATTCCTGTGAAATCACACTTTAAGGTGTGTAGCCTGGGTTTGCTGCTGGGAATATTCAGTTTGCAGCACTGTTGGGTGACTGGTGGGTGCATTGGTGAGGCAGTTTGAGGGGGGAATGCCTTCATTCATAGCCTGCAGTTTACTTCCAATTTTGAAGCCTCTAAACATGACCAGCCTCTTCTGCAGTGTTTTGTTAGCTGTGTAAAACTTGGTGTGTTTGAAGCTGAAAAAGCATGTGAAACAGAACTTGTATTTGAATTCTTTTTTAACTTGTCATATATATACACCTGCATCTTAACCACTATTTTTTACATCTATACTCCTAGATTCAGAAGGCTCTGACTTTATGGAAAAACAGAGCAAAAATCTACCCAGAGCTGTATTCCCATCTCGGTAAGGCAAACATATTGCACAAACATGGGCACTTCTTGGAGCACACAAAAACTGTTGCCTTTCCCATCACTCAAGCAAGAGCTGTTTTAATATGGGCCCAGCTGTAATACAAAAGGGTTATGTCCGTGGCAATTAAATCTTCAGTAGTTTAATATTCAGATCCTCAAATACTGCAAATACATTTCAGACAGTCTTGTTCCCCAGGATAATAGCTACATAATTAGGGTAAGCCTTTCACACTTTCTATTTGATCCCATTGGACTTATTTACCAAAAATCATTGCATGGATGTGCCCAGCAAATGTCTTACAGAAGTGCTTGTAAGAAAATTAAAAGCTTAAATATAGCGATTCTCTCTCCACTAAGTACTGATTTTTATTAAAACTGGGAGTTGCTCATACTTCACCCCTTGCAGCCTCTTTGAATCCTCTGTTTGACATTTCAAAAGTGCCATGCAGGTTCTAATACACATTACACAGAAAGAGCCATTATAAAATTCCTGACTTTTTCTTGTTTGCACGACAAAGGACAAAGGGGGAATGGCAAATCCTCCAATTGGACCAGATAATCACTCCCCTGTGAAAAGCCTGCAATACACATCCTCTGTTTTCTTCTTAGCTGAGCTTCAAGTGTGTTTGGTCAATAATTTTATTTTGGGTGTGAAGCCCATAAATCACCTTCCAATACACACTGGACAGTGGAGAGTCCGGGTGGATTTGGCTTCAGCCACAGGAGAAGTCACATCTGGATACAGGAAAGCTGGGTGCTGCTGGAGCAATCAGACATTTTCATTTCATGTTGTCATGGTCTTTTGAAGAACACTCACTGCAGAATAGGACCACACTCTGGAGCCAAGATTAATTGGATGGATAAATAACTGTGGGATCACGTCTTCTGACGTAAGAGAGAGACCATTACAAATCCATGCAGTTTTATCCAGGTGGCCATATAAAACCTAACAAATTCCCTGCTGGAATTGAGCTGGCCAACACTTAGCCCATCTGCAGAAAACTTTGTCAGGCATCTGAACATTGCTCAGGTGGTTTCCAAGCCTCTGACACATCTCATTGTGTGACAGTTCTTTTGCCCTGGCCTCTGGGAATCAGTAATGTGCCATTTGACTGGAGAGTCCTGAGGGAAGAGCTGGGTGTATGGAGCTCTCCTAAAGGGCTGAGGGGGTCTCAAAGATTTCAGGAAAAACCTTCCCTCTTATTTGCAAGTGTGGGAGTATTTGACATGAGCTGAACTTGAAGCTGACAAATGAAGTGGATATTTTTCAGTGCCGTTTTTGTCTTGGGAATGGATGTATTTTGAATTAATATACAAATGCATGTCTGAAATTCTTCTCTGGAGAAAGATGCTACACAAAGTGCAGGATTAAAGAATGCACTGCCTTAGGCCATGCACAGGCTGTTACTTTGTAGTCTGTTCCATTTTCCTCTTAAAACTCAATTTAGCTAAGTAAGGTGCCCTTTTAACATCTAACAGAGGCTTTATCATGTTTAAGTAGACAAGTTTCTTAAAAGGTTGTCAAGACAAAGTGAGCAGTAACAGAAATGTTGAGTGGGGCTCTTTCAGACAGCTTTATTGCCTTCCCCTGAGTACAAAACAGGCTGCCTCCCTCAGCTAACACTTGTTTTAATGAGGGATGAGCCACAGGGGTGATTTTGTACAAGTTCATTACATTGCATCCTCCAGCCAGACTGTCCTCAGGGCACACCATTCAGCCTGGGCATTGGATGAAATTGGACCAATTTTAAATCATTTACAGAGGCATATAAAATCCAAAGGGCCTTTGATGCTGAAGGCATTTGTATGTAGGCTCAGGTATGTGGCTGCTGGAGGGGATGAGAATCTGGCCCAAGTGCCATGCTCCTTCATGCTTTTATCAATCACATTTTACTTTTTCAACTCATTTCTCCTGAGATTGGTGCCAAAAATAGATTTCCACATCTTACGCTAGCAAAGGCCAGGGAAGAAAATGGGTGTAAGTTTCCAGTTTAAATGTTACAAGGTAAACATCCAGCCTCCTCACCCCAGCCTTCAGATCAGCTTCACTGTCTAGAGCCAGGGCTCTATTGTGGTTGTTAACAGCATTCAAAATACTGATATTCTTTATCCATGCTGGGGAACAGTGAAGTGGTTTCTCATGTTCACTGGGAAGTGATCTGCCTTTATATAAAGCCTTCTTCTTCTAAGCATGAGTGTTATGAAATCCACAGGAATCCATAAAGAGTGATGGGACATTTTTCTAAAATGTCACACCCGTACATCTTCCACCTTCTGTGATTCAGAAGCAGCATAAAAGGTCATAAATCATTCAACTGCTGTGATTCACTGCCCTGATTCATACACTTGATACAAATACTTAGAGATCAAAGTGGAACCTAACCCCCACCACACTCCAAGGATTTAAATTATTTTTCAATGCTTGCTATAAAGATGGACTTCCAGCTAAAACTAAAGCTTCTCCTGATTGATATTGGCTGTTTAAAGTAGCAAGTTCCCTGCAGTTAAGAGTGGTGCTGCCTTTAAGAGTCATATGGGGTAGTATATGCAGCAATGTGTTCTGCATCCGTGCTTCCTCCCTAGCAATGCTGAACAGGGGACACTTGTGGCTCACGGGGCTTCTGGGCAAATATTTACAGGGAATTAAAAAAACATCGGAAATTTTTTACCCGTTAAGGAATCTGGGAGCCCCCTAAACCTTCTTGTATTAACTTTGCAGTGGATGAAGGTGTTAAACCGGCATGTGTCTACCAAGAGGGGAGTGATCCTTTTAAGTCCTTTGCTTCATCCCCACTTGTGAAATTTGTTGTGCCAGTGGGACGAGGCTGGCTATAAAACCCCAGCACTGCGGACATCCCTCCAGCTCGGGCAGCCTGCCAGCACATCTCTGCCGAGAGCAGCCCCAGGGAGATCCCCCCTTCATCTCTGCCCGGCAGGGAACTGCTTCGCTGACGGGGGAGGATGGACCTGAGGTGTGCCTGGATGCTCTGCGTGCTCTGCCTCGTCCTCACGGTGCAAGCGTTTACCCAGGAAGGGTTCAAGGAGGTGGTGCTGAAGCAGCTGGGGCTGTCCGAGGTCCCTAAACTTCATAAGAGAGACTTGGTGGATGTGGTTATCCCAGACCACGTGAAGAACAAGTACATGTCCATGCTGAAGCGGCAGAGGGTGAAGCGCCGAGCTTTGCCGAGCCTGGCTGGCATCCTCAGAGGGATCCCGGGACACACAGGTAACCTTTCTGCTGCTGGCAGCATCCCAAGCACCCTGCTGGGCCAGCGGAATCTGCCGGGGCTCTCCCCGCCGGCCGCAGAATGGGCAGGGGCAAAGCCCCGAGGGGAAAGGGGAATGAGGGTCGGGTTTGGCTCCAAAGCTCAGCTGGGCAGAGGAGATGCATGCGACAGCATCGGAAAGATTGACAAGCACTCTTTGCACCTGGAGAGGGGGTCCCACAGTCCTTCCAAAGGACAGGATGCTGCTGGAGCATGATAGAAGCCTTGGTACCCTGGGAACAGTCTGGACAGGTAGGTGGGGGGGAAAAAGTGCAGGCCACGTAGGTTTTGGGTGAAATCTACAGCAAGTCCTCTAATAGGAATCACACGTCTTGGAGGATGTTTCACTCTCTCTCATCTCTTTCTTGTTTAAGTTTGTTTTTTACAGGAAAAATTATCAAGGAGGAAAATAGCCATACAGATACAATAGTGGCTGTACAAGGGCACTTAGAGCTTACTGTGCTTTCAAAGGACATACACAGCACCCGGGGCAGCAAATGAAAATACTTTGTCATTCGAAGTGGTGCAGTTTCCTGCTCTCCTGCCCAGCACTGGCACAGAGGTGCACACCTTTTGAGATGTGCTCAATTTGAGGTTATATTATGTGAGAGATTTAGTTCTTCCAGACTGCAGAGACTCAGACACAGGAGAATAATTAGGGCATTTGCAAGACACTGATTTAAGTATACATTAGAAAAGCTGTGTTTAGCAGCTGTCTCTGCTACACATGGGCTCGACTGGGAGCATGGAAGGAGTGTGTTGTGATGATAATTGTGCATGAAATGTGGTGGCTTTGCTCAGGAGGATGGCAGTGACAGGCTATCTTTTTTGTCCCAAACTGCACAGGTATGACAGGAGAAGTCCTCTACTCTGACACAACCTCACGCCAGAAGCTGATGTTTGACATGGAGGGCAGAATACCTAAAAACAGTGAAGTCACAATGGCTGAACTGAAACTCTTCAAAAAGCCTCTGGACAGAGCAAACCTTCCTGCCAAGCAGTCTCACAGGCCTGTCTCCAACGCCAGAGTCAGTGTATACTGGGTGCAGCAGCATCATGATGGTACCAACAGGACCTCCCTGATAGATTCCAGGTAAGAAAGGGGCTTCTGCTGAAATTACAGTGTTTGGGTCCTCTGGGGTGCATTTGGGTATCATGTGGTTGTGCCTCAGCTCAGTCTGATGGGGTTTACATCTGAAGGGAAGTAAATGTGATGTGATGTGAGTTTATATGGCCTCTAAACCCAGAATGAGCTTGTAAGAGATATTATGCTAAGATAGCAATATATGATGATGCTTTGAAATAATCTATTAAATGATGCCGTGTACTGCTACATCTTCCCCGCTAAAATCCTCCTCCTGGTCCAATTCTCTGTCACTAACTCAAGTGGGTTACTGGCTGATGGTATTCTTTCCACTCGCCATTTTATTAGCTGGTTTAAACAAATAAATTTTGCAAAAAGCATTTGATTCTGCAATGGTGAGCTCTGTGGAAGTTTTGCAACCCTTGAAGGCAGAACTAGACTAGACTAGAAACTTATGGCTCTAATGCAGCTCAGACAGGAGCAGGTGGGAGCCTGGTGTTTACCAGGCTATTGTCACCAATACTGAGGCTGCACATGATCCTGTAACACTTAGTTTTTTGTACGAGCATGTAGAGAGGGTTTTTTCTGTCTCTTCAGTGTCTGTTAGATCTGCATGCTTCTTTTTGAGGTGGCAATTAACTGCTGTGGGTGCTCACCCAGAGCAAAAATGATCGTGTAATCAAGGCCTGTGGTAATCTACAGAAAGTAAATTATTCTGCTGCAGTAACAGCACTGCCAGCCCAGGATTTATCTGGTAGGCTTTTCTAATGCCAGCCCTTGTCATACAGGCTGGTTGCTATTCATGATTCGGGCTGGAAGAGCTTTGATGTGACCCAGGCCGTGCATTACTGGCTGCGAAACAAGAGGCGGGAGCCGATGTTCCTGGAGGTGTGGATCGAAGGGGAAAGGATGGGCAGCTATGCCTCGGAAATGGCCAAAGCCGTGCGCTTCACCTCGCAGGACCCCAAGGATAAAGCCCTAGGCAAGCCTGAGCTGGTGCTTTACACTCTCAACTTGGATGACTATGGGTATGTATGAAACCTAAATCTGTACTGTCTCCGGTGTAATTTTGCCCCTGAATTATTGTGGCAGGGGGGCAAACCCAGGGTAGGCAGCTCTTACCCTCACAAGTGTTTACCAGCTGTGAATGGAGTAGTTAGCTACTGCTGAATCCCACCTCTCCTCTTCCCTAAATCTGTTGTCTGAATACTCAAACCGGCCCGGGTTTCATGTCTCAGAGCCCACCTGTGCCATTAGCAGCAGGGCTGATTTCCCCCACTTCCCACTTTGCAGTTATAGCACCCATTCCTCTTTCTCCCTTGGTGTCCAGGAGCCCTGGGGACTGCAGGGAGGAGTCGGCGATGGGGAAATCCACCTGCTGCCGGCAGAAACACTACATCAGCTTCCGCGAGCTGCCGTGGGCTCAGCACTGGATCCTGGAGCCGGCGGGGTTCCAGGCGTTCCGCTGCTCCGGGAGCTGCCTGCAGCCGCCCCGCGCCCTGCGCCGCCTCGGCTCCGGGCAGCGCTCCTGCGCCGTGGCCGGCAGCTCCGCGCTGCCCATCATCTACCTCGTCAAGAGGGGTAACCGCACCGAGATTGAGGCGGCCGAGTTCCCCAACATGATCGTGGAGCGGTGCAGCTGCGTGACGGACGGCGTGGCGCTGGTGTGACGAGTGGGTGGCCTGGGGTGTCATCCATTCCCACCGGCCCTGCCAAGAGCCACCCCGGCCCCCGGCCCCGGGGCCAGTGATGAAGGTCCCTGCAAGGGAGTTCCTGCCTGCAAGGGTCAGCAGCACTGGGGCCCTGCTGGCCTGCAGAGAGAGTGCACTTAGAGGCACTGTCCGTCTAGATGGGCTCAGAGGAACATGCATGTCACATATGGGAGGAGTGCCTAAGGAGCCTAGTGCTTCTTGAGGTCCCCTTGGTGCCAGCTAAATTTCACTGAATTTATTTCAGCCCCCACCCTGGAGTATTGCAAACAGCTCCAGGCAAAAGAAGAGTGCCCATCACCAGGTGAAGAAGAAATGTGTGGGCTCGGCTTTTCATTCTTAGGCTGCTGGGTCTGGTCCTTGTCTGTGCAAGCTGTGTTTTTAGTGAGCTGCAGAGCGGAAGCACTTACATGTATATAATCTGTACATGCACACAAGTACAGAGAGTATGAATAAATGTGTTATTGTCTACATGCTGAGTATCTACATATTGATTACAGACATATATATAGGTACATCAAATATTGCCTAGAATTTATGTGCATATGTATTGCAAGTACATATACATATCTACATGTACATAAAATATTATCTGAAACTCAAAGATTTATATTTTTTGCCTCTGCACCACGGGATTAACAGTTTTAAGCAGAATTTAGAATCCTGGAATCAACTGGAATATTAGGACTTAGGTTTGCTTCCATGAGTAACAGTTTGTTTTTCTGATTCTGTATTACAGTTATTTCAATTTAGGGATATTTTTCAAGATGTGTGTGCTTTCAAAATCAAGGAAACAATAAAACACAAGTATTAAAGTTGCCATGTGTTTCCTTATATTTATTCTTAGCTCTAAAAGTGGAGGGGAAAAGATCTGTCATACTTCCGTGAGTATCCAGTGCCCAGCTCCTATAAACATACACGCTGCAACAGCTCTTAGCTACCTGTGTGATCCCACCTTCTCCGGTGAAGCTTATCTGCTCCCCCAGGGACTGGGCTGAATTAGCAGGCAGAGCAGAGCCTGCACTGCCAGCGCTTCATCCCGAGCTGCTGCGGAGTTTAAGCCAGCACTTTCTTAAGGAGAAAACCTAGACTCTGATCTGCCAGCAGGAGGTGGTGCTCTCCCCGTGAGCCGCAGCCGTGGCAGAACCTGCAGGGAGGGGTCAGCTGAAGCTGCAGTGCAGGAAGGGATGAGCTGCCTCCCATTTTAACCCCATCCCGTCCTGTTGGACATCTGACCAGCACATACCCTGGAGACACGCTATGATAACGTGGTTTAATCCCTACGTGAACTGTTCTGAACTGCTGGCCAGGGTGCCAGGTAATAATAACCATTTCCACCTTCATGTCAGACTCTTGCCCTCGGCTCATGTAACCCACTGAGATGGCAGTGGCTCTGGGGATGAAGCATTTGCTGCTGACTATTTCTCTTAGAGGGTGGGATGTGATCCCTGAGGCTCTGGTTGAACCTGCTGCTGGTGCAAGGACTCTGAAATGTGTTTGTCTGGCTAGACAGGGTGCCCATGGACCACAGGAAAAGAGGGACCTGTCTGCAGCGGTTCTGTATCATCCATCAGGAAGATATGAGTGTTCCTGCTGCTCTGCAGGACCCCGGCTCTGAGGTCACCCAGGCATCTCTGCCATCACCTCATGGGTAGGCTGGCACCTCTCACTTGTGTTAACACGTGGCAAAAGAGCTTTAAGGGGAGGAAAAAAGGCAAAAGTACAGACTCATCATTCACCAGCTCTGGGCTACAGGACTATGCGTCTCTGGAGTCAGAATTGGATGAGCTGGAATGATCTCTGGCCATTCCCTTCTCATGACTATGTAGTATCTATCTTAATGGCATTGGCATTCAGCCCCAGGTCCTCTCCACCCAGCTCGGGGCAGGGCGTTGCCTGAAGGCCAGGAGCTATCACCACGAAGAACAAAGGCGATGATCTAGCCACACACTGAGCCTGGGGAAAAAAGTGTTTGAGCTGGTTGCTGCCTGAGAATGAAGAGCATTAACCCTGGCTTCCCTCCAGCCTCCAGCACTTGCACTTCAGACATCATTCATCCTCCATCCCAGGAGAAATTCCATGCCGTGCAGTTTGGGGCAGGCTGTTGTGGGAAATGGGGAACAGAGCATCGCAGGAGCGGCGGGGCGGACAAGGCTCCTCCTCTCCACCAGGATCCTGTGCTGTGTCCGGCACCCCTCGCTTTGTCTGGCTGTCTTTGCTCGGGTGTCCTGTGGACGGGAGGTGCACAGAAGCGAGCGGTGGGTCTGTGTGCATGTGTGTGACACCTGGAGGGCGGGGAGGGGGAGGTGGTGGCCAAGGAGACCTGGTGTTAGTGTGGGGAGAACTGTGGGTATTGCAGGGTGCAAATCCGTGAGCTGTAAAGCCCTGCCTGCCCTGCTGCCTGCATGGACACTTGGATTTATCGCTAGGACAGCTGCACAGATGTCACAGCATCTCTGCTGGGGCTGGTTTTGAGCTTACATTTGCACTGAAGCTCCTCACTTTTGCGGAAACAGGACACTGCTCCTCTAAACTCCAGACAGCTTTGCAACGAAAATGTTGCAGACTTGGAGGCTCGGCTGATTTGGAGAAGGCTCCAGAGACTTCTACACTGTAAACTCCTGGGCAGAAGGCTGTGGATGAAATACTGCCGCACCTGGGGCTTTTTCAGACATCAGCCCGTGCTACAGGTAATTATCTCCCAGTCTGTCATCTTCAATCCAGGCTGTATTTGCTGTGACACCTTCTGTGTGCTACTTGCATGGGTACAACTTGTAATGCACACAAAAGCTGCCAAGCTGTCATGTTCTCCTTTCCATCTGAGCAGCATCACAGTCTCTGAGGAAAGGCAGAACATCTCAGATACCTGGCAGCAACGTGGTTCAGCATTGTCATTGATGCTGTGCTGTAATAAAATAAAAAAGAACAGCAGTGAAGGGGCATAATGAACCACATAGAGCCAGAAACAATTTTAAAAAATTGAAAAGTGCTTTAAGGCAAAACCAGCGTTAAGCTGTCAGGCATCCTCCTGCACTGCTGAAAGCACAGAGCACCCAAGTGCTGCTCAAGGAGCAGGAGGTGTGTGCTCTTCACGTGGAGGACTTCAACAGCCCTGTTAGTCCCACACTCCAGGTTAGGTCCTTGTGTAAGTATTCGTGTGGCAGCGCCTTAACTAAATCTTGTCAGAAGTATGAGCTTATCATGAGTGTGAGCTCTGGCTGGCTGACATGGCACTGCTCACAGGGTGACCTTTAAGGGCCTGCAGTAGTTAATGGAACGGGACACAGGGTCTGGAGCTGGTCCTATCAGTCTCAAGAGAGCTTTCCTTAAGAGAGAGGCCTGGGCATGCCAGCAGCACTCTCACTGTTATCTCTACCCATTATCTCCATTCTAGGAGAGAGAACAAAAGTTTCAAGCCACATTAAATGCTGCTGCTAGCTGGACTACATTACCCTGTGTGATCTCTCCATGGTTTCACTTAAAACAAGGCTGCTTTACCATTTTCTTTCAAAATCTGTGAGAAGTTGCAGCTTTTCCCAGCTGGTGAGGCCTTATTTCCTCTCTCTCTTGTTTTTTTCCCCATTTGTACTTCACAGACTCCTACCAAGGGTGTCTGACACTTTGCCTTTCAGGGCAGCCTTCTAATTGCCTGTGTAAGTGGAAAGTCAGATGCCCAATCCACATCCCAGCAAAGGTGATAATCAGGGAGCTCCTCTGGCTTTGGCTGGCAACAGCTGCAGTCTGGGAAAGGGGAACCCAGGGCAGATGAGGGGTGGGGAGGTGATGGGAGTGGCAGGGAGTGTGACAGAGATCCTGCAGGACTTTGATGTTTTTAGAGGACTTGGCGCTCCTCTGTCCACTCCTGGAGCAGGTGTAGGAGAGCAGTGCGAACAACATCAGCACATTTAAGAATAAAATAGAATAAAAAGCTCATCATGGCTACTGCCTTTGCCCTGTGCTCTGGAGATGCTTGGGCACTCCAGAGCTGCTGGGGTGCCTTGGTTTCCTGTGGTAAAACCAGCAGGTGCAGCATGGCCAAGAAAGATTTTTTAACCATGGCAGGAGATAATAGATTATCTGGAGATGCTGGACCCTGGAAAGTCATGTAAACAACCCACATATCTCAGTATTCTTTTTTAGATAATTGTTAAATCAGGGTGAGTTTTTGTTTGCTTTTTCCAAGCTATTTATTAATTTTGTTTTAAAGCTTTCCTAAAGTTTATTTATGGGTTTTCTATTTACATTTTCCTTCTGATTTTACTCATGACAAATTTGCCTCTTTGGAAGCCTGGGATGCCTCTATCCCCTTTGAAAACCTGTTTTCTAGTTGCTGAAAATGAATGCAATCAGTTCATAATTATTACTTCCCAGGTGACCACCAACTTCCTGCCCAGTGGTCCCTTGGGTGGTGCCAGGTGGTTACCAGATGCTGGGTACAGCATCTCACTGGCCATAAAGTGCCATCTATTGCCACCAGACCTCAGAGTATTGTTCAGGCTGAAAAAAACCTCCAGGATTATCGAATCCAACCATTAAACCAGCACTGCCAAGCCACCCGCTAAACCATGGCCCACATCTACCCAGCTTTGAAGTACCTCTAGGGATGGTGATTCAATCACCTCCCTGGGCAGCCCATTCATGTCTTCACTGAGATGTGCAATATTCCCAGCAGATGTTTCACAAGCTGGTTGGCTCATTATAAACACTCCCTTCCATACAGCCCAGACAGGTCTTTCAAGAGCTCCTTTCTGCCCTGCAAGTTTTGTGCAAATTCCTGCTTCCTTGTGCCTGGTTAGAGGCACCCTGCAAAGGCAGCAGGGAGAAGCAGGACAGGCAGCTCGTGTATTCAGGCCACCGGGACACTTTCCAAGCCTGCACAGCTGCTGGCTCTAAACCCAGACTAACTCCCCTGGATTAGCCCAGCCTCTAGCAGGGCTGGAAAGCAGTGGTGCCTGTCCAGCCCCTCCTCTACAGCTGGGTGAGGTCAGAGTTGTCACCTCCCTCCCTTCAGGCGTCATTATTAGGCACGTTAATCTGCAAAGCCACCCTAATTGCTCAGCTCTAAGCAAAGCCAAGCCAGCTGAGGTGGCAGTGCTAACAGGGGTGCAGGCAGTACCACTTCCAGTTAAATGTCTTGGAGAAAGCTTTAGGATTTAAAAATAGCACCTTCCCGAGAATAGGCATCGCTGAAAACAAACCTTTCAAATGCCAACATTCTCCAGAAAGCAAAACGTTGTGTAAGAATGAGCTGCGGAGGGATCAGGGGGATTGATTGTGACTATTTCAGGAACAGGCAGAGCGGTGTAAAGGTGACCCGATGTCCCCGCTGCTCAGCAGCACCCGCGGGACTCGGCTCAGGTGCCCTGTGCTGAGGGACGAGGCTTTGTCAGCGCTGCTGGAAGCGGACACATCCTCCGCGTCAGTCCAGTGCCACCTACAGCAGCGAGAGCAGAAGCTGCAGCGCTCGGCAAAGCAGTGGAAGCAATTCCAGCACGCTCCAGCAAGGGGTGTTTACGTGAGTGGCTTTTGAGGAACTTGTTTATTAGGACCGTGCAGGTGAGTGCAATGGAATGGAGCCCTTTGGCTGAAGGCCAGCAGCTGTTGTTGTGTCTGCTGGTGGTGGTATTTCTAAACCTGTGCCAGTTCCTTCCCTCTATGACCTGTCCAGTTCCCTGCTGCTTTGTGCATTAGATGTACTTACCTTGCCTTCCAGGGAAGAGATGGATCTGTATGAAGTGAAGGAAAGCCCTCCCTGAGGCCTGTGCCAGTGTTTTCACTCATTGCTTTTTTCAGTCACTAACTCTGAAAGGCCAGTGAA